GATAACAGGACCCCCCCCCCCCAGGCCAAGATGCAAAGCGGGTAACCGTTCGACCTCAGCGTTCTGTAGTGAGTTCAAATAACTCATAGTCATTTAACAATTTTTAGATGCATATTTTTTCCTGCGAAGTTAACTGTTCTGAGGTCACTTCGGAATAATCCCATCAGGTCCTTGAATAAAGCTAATTGCCTGTTCTGACGTTACATGTTCCACCCCGATATTCAAGTCGTATTTATCTAATGCTTCCATTACTTTAAACGTGGTTTGCCATGTAATGTAATTAATTACAGTCCCTTTGACGTCCTCTAATCGATTTTTCTTCCCTCCTCGCTCTTGAATATGCAGACCATTTCATCCCCTTTGATAATACCGCGCTCCGCAGGAATTTGTTAACAAGACTGTATCATCAACACCCCATCTGTGTGGTGAGCCACATTAGTCGTTTCGCCCTTTGTTTATGCCTCAAAATCGTGCTTGCGTATTTTTAAGTATCGTTATCCTGTCATGTGAACAACTTTTCTGCAAAAAATTGCCAGTCGATCTCACATTCGTGGTCGATGTTAACCAACGTTTCAGAAAAGTGGATGAGTAATCTTGGATGGCTACAGTAAATTTGAAGTTTATTTTATTATTTTTATGTAATTTTGCATTTTTTGCAAGTTAAATAATTTCGAAGATTTCTGTCTTCTGGGTTGCTGCGCTGTGTAGTCTGGTCGATGTTAACCAACGTTTCTGAGGTCATACTGCCTCCGTCATCAGAGTATGAAGATTTCTGTCTTCTAGGTTGTTGCGCTGTGTAGTCTGGTCGATGTTAACCAACGTTTCTGAGGTCATACTGCCTCCGTCATCAGAGTATGAAGATTTCTGTCTTCTAGGTTGTTGCGCTGTGTAGTCTGGTCGATGTTAACCAACGTTTCTGAGGTCATACTGCCTCCGTCATCAGAGTATGAAGATTTCTGTCTTCTAGGTTGTTGCGCTGTGTAGTCTGGTCGATGTTAACCAACGTTTCTGAGGTCATACTGCCTCCGTCATCAGGGCGATGAGTATGAAGATTTCTGTTTTCTGTGTTGTTGCGCTGTGTAGTATGGTAGATGTGTAGCGACGTTTATAAGTGCTTGCTGCCTCGATTACCAGGGCGATAAGTAACCTTACTCATCGCCCTGAGTACCTCTGAAACGTTGGTCTACACGGCGCTACAACCCAGAAGACATCTATCTTTAATGTGAGGAACTTCATACAGTTACAATCCCGCTTGTCTGTCACTTATCTCAACACCAACAGTTTATATTGCATTACTTCACAACGCCGTACTGCAGAATTTCAATTCAAAATGACATTTTTTAACTGTCACGCAGTTATCAGGTTCATTGTACCTGAAGAAAGGACTTGATTATGGCTACGTTACAGTTGAAAAAGGTTGCTCTGAAGTGACACCGGCGAAATTCTGCAGCATGTGGTAGACGGTGATGGTTGTGTAACAAATGACAGACTAATGGAATTGTAATTACAGTAGAGAAGCCACGGTGGTCTAGCGGTTAGAACGCTGGCCTTGTAATCCTGGAGTCTCGGGTTCGATTCCCGGCGGTGCCCGAATATATAACTTATGTTGGGCAAGGCCGTGGTCTAGGCATCACGGAGTTTTCCTCCGGGGGCTTCCCCGGTTTCTCCGTGGCATCCCAACAATTACTCCATTCACACACAGAAGAAGGCAATGGCAAACCACTTCTGGATCATCTGCCAAGAACGTATATGAACAGGTCCCAGTCCGAGAAAAGGATGGAAGGATCCTGTTCACATGGACCTGTCGTCAGACAGAACACTAAATAATAATAATTACAGTAGAGTCCGGTTAATCGGAGCAGCCGTTTAGTTGGGACAAATCTTAAAGAAAAAAAATAAATCGAGAAAATAACCTAAATTTGTTTCGCTTATTAAGACGCCATCCCGTTTAATCGGGACATTGAGTGTTGTGGCGTTTGGCGTGGAGGAGTCAGTGAGTCATCGCCGATTCACTCAGTAACGAACTTTTGCGTATTCGGACAGTGTAGTTTTAAGCATTCAGGCTTAGAGACCGATAGTGAAAATGACGCCATTTTGGAAGTGCAACACGTCAGAAACTACGAAGAGTTTGCATGCATCGACAACAGTCTTCAATGTTACAATGAAAATGAAGATTATGAGGACGAAATTGTTGAACAAATTGCAGCAAAACACCAAAAGACATCAGAAGACCAGAGAAGTGATGAGGACGACACACCTGAGTTTGATCGAGTGACTAACCAGGATGCTGGAAAATTTGTTGTGGAATTACGACGCTACTTCTTTCAGGAAGGCAATGAAGGCGGTCCTATATCTGCACTAGATATCTGCGCGTATTTTGTTCAGTTGCAGTCAATCAAGAGGGCAGACTCGATAAATTCACCCAACATCATTAACTGTTAAGAACTGCGTGTTCGATACATACATTAGATTTGAATTGCTTTTAGAGTAAATATTCTTCTCTGATCTGTACCATTTGCTCCAAAATTCATTTACAGTATTTCTGTTGCTCAATAAATCATCTCAATAAACGGGAGTTGGTCTTTTGTTTTAAACCTTTTCAACTCTTTACGTGGAACTTCGCCTAATCGAGGCAACCGCTTAATTTGGCCAAAGTGTTATAGTCCCGATGTGTCCCAATTAACCGTAATCCACTGTATATGATTAACAGAGCAGGATCTGCGCTACAAGATTACGAAGAGGTTTTTTTAACTTCGGGTTCTGCTATCGAGTTGTTTTTGGAAATCCTACTACATTGTTTTAGTCCCGTCCAATGGTAGGTTCTGGTATTAGCGGGGTTTGGTTCTAGTCTAGGTCTAGTTCTGTCATCAGAGATTTTGACTGTGTGTGTGGAAACACTGCCATATGTTCTGACGAGTTCTCTCGGTGGCAGGGCTGGATGCTGGATGTGTTCGCGTATAGACCGTCCGCTTGGGTCGATACGGACCGGAGTGTCGGGGTGTGGGTAGTGTTACGGTAAGGTGGGCGGGTGGATGATTCTGTACGCTTACTTTTCTGTAGCATTTCCCTCTTGCAAGATGGATAAACTAACAATTCCCACAACCCCTCGTGGTGTTACTCCCCTACAAGCTGTTATAATGAAAGTTTGAGAGGGAATAGGGCAGATTTACGAGAAGGGCGTGTAGATGTGCCCTCAGTGAGGGTCGTTACGTTTGTCTGCCATGTCGAACTAACATTCACATATCTAACATCCCGTCTTAACATGTCCGACTCGTTTCAAGACGACATTTTTTAGAAATTAGAAATTCTGAAAAGAAGTTATGTTGCTAACTTCCCTCGTTTAAATTTATTTTGCATAGAAAGGCTATCACATTGTAAATTAATAGTTTTTATAGCTTAATAATCTGTTTCTATGCAGTATAACTTCCAGTAAATACTCTTCTTTTGCCAGAATTACTCTACATCAGCGTTTCTCAACCTATGGTACGCATACCACTAGTGGTGCGCGAGGCAGTGTTGAGTGTTACGCGAACTAAGTTAATATTAACATAAATAACGGTTTTCCCTGAACGCATTTCGTTAGTGGTACATTTAATGTGTTAAATTAGGATTAGTGATACGCCAGCGAAAAGGGTGAGAACCCCTGCTCAACATCATACAAAACGTCCCTCCCTGATTTTTTTTGGTACTTTTTACGTTCCAAATTATATTTTGTTTAAAGATCTTTCTTCTGTACAATATTTCCATGGTAACGAGAAACCTCATTTTATACAACGCTAAAAGAATTTTATATACACCACTTTAGCTCTAAGCAGTTCAAATACAGAACACAAAATCTTATAATCTTCTACTGTTGAATAAATTCGGCTAACTTGTTCCCAGAAATTCTTCGTTTCCAGAAATGATACTTTAATATACAGTGTCCAGGGAGGATATGTCAAGACTTTATCAGTTCTTGGGGAAATTCTAAGTGAAAAATGTTATATCAGCATGGGTCTGATTCGTAACGTTTACCGAGATATGCAGGTCTCTACATTTTGATAAAAAAACAATAAAAAGCTGATTACCAGTATACTAGTGCAGAATGTTTTCAAAGTGACCACCTGCTTCAACGCACGTTTCGAGCCGCCGATCCATCGAATCTTGCCAAGGAAAACGTGGAAAGTCATTTCTGAAGTCTTCGAACGTATCCTGTATGCGTTCTACCAGCCGCTCCCTAGTTTCCGGTTTACCTCGCCGATAAACGATGCTCTTAAAGAAATTCCAGACAAAGAAATCCAACGGACATAAGTCAGGGGAACGGGATGTCCATGTTACAGGACCTCCTCGTCCGATCCACCTTCCTCGAAAATTTCGATTTAGGTATTTAGCAACCTCCTTGCCGCAGTGAGGCTGTGCCCCATCGTGTTGTATCCACATCCGGACTATCGATGCCAGAGGTACATCTTCCAAGAAAAGTGGAAGTTCGTGTTGCAAAAAATGGCTGTATTGTACAGACGTAAGGCGTCCTTCGATGAAATGTGGACCAATCGCAGAAAATCTGTGCTGAAAGTTACATTCAACCACATCATAATCAGCTTTTTATATTTTTTTTATCAAAATGCAGAGACCTGCATATCTTGGTAACAGTTACGAATCAAACCAATGTTGATATAACATTTTTCACTTAGAATTTCCCCAAGAATCAACTGAAATATCCTCCCCGGACATCCTGTGTGTATCCTGTATATCTCCTATTTTATTAAACTGACAACATTCTCCTTCTCTGAAAACATCCCCGAACTCCATACGAGTACAATCGCCCTTCGTCAAGAATTCTTTGTTTTTATCCATACACAATTTCAAACGCGTAATTGCAGTGATTAGTTAACATCGCCTGCTTTTGTTCGTGAGGACAGTGTTGATGTTCGTAGTTACGCTACACTTTCTTAATGTATCAGTTTCTGAAGATGGACCATATTGTGTTACGGGCTATGAAGTGAGGTTAGTACCGCACTTACGTTTTCTTGGTGCAGTTGTACTCGTCGGAGAAGTCCTTGCAGTCGTTGTCGCCGTCGCATCTCCATGTGGACTTGACGCAGAGTCCGTTGTCGCATTGAAATTCTTCGGAGGTGCAATTCATGTCGTAGCCTGCCGGAAGAAATAGGAGAGTCGCAATGAGTTTTTTGGGTCCGAAGATGGCTGTCTTCTGGGTTGTAGGTAGCATGTTCTTCCGAAACGTGGGTTTACAATCAGACATCTATACGGCTAAACAACCCAAAAGACCGCTATCTGAAGGAGAAGGAAATTTTACCGAAAGGGCAGAGTTCATTACGGCGTAAAAATTACATGAAATATATTGAACTTTCATGTGGTGTTTGACATTTTTTCTGCAGTTTAAAAGAGTCCAACCAACATTGACATGTGTCACTACAGAGACGTATAAATTATTTCAGTGAATGCTTACCGCATCAAATTAAGTTTTAAATAAAAATTATGTGTCTTAATGAGATTGAGGCCTTTAGTTTACGAACTTCGTCAATAGTGCGATAAATGTGACGGGGGGGGGGGGGGGGGCAGTCAAAGTGCGTCGGGCAGTTTAAAATATTTGGACTCGTGCCGTTACTGCTGCTACACGATGGTAAGAGAACCTGTGACACGTGACAGATTTCTTCCTACACCCGACACCCACTCAGTCCTCCTACCCCCACATTTCACACAGGAGGAATTTTCTCTCTTTGTATTTCCACATGAAGGCGCCCTACTAAGTTTTCCTTGTTGCCGATTCTATTTGACGTCTTCCCACTCTACGACTGAGCGAGTGAGTGGATGATTTGAAAAAAGATTTTTAAATTTTAAAATTTTAAAATAATACACCAGCACCTGTCCGGACGGGCTGATTAAAACTACGACAAACCTCAATTCTAAAGGATCCTGACGATGGTAGATTACACTTAAAATTATTCTTTGTCTGGACTTTTTCCATCGTCCTTGTTTAAAAGAGGAAACCACGACGTTTCGGAAACTGGCTTGCAGTTTCTTCTTTTAAACAAGGACGATGGAATACGGACAAACCTGCCCGAATACTTTGTATCTGGTACAATATTCGAAGTCGGGACTTTCCAAATAACTAAGATAATAGCGAAAAGTGGCATATTATCAAGTTCGTTTGCATAAAATTTACATACATTCCGAATTAGTTACATTTATACTGACGCTGGTCGAGAACGAATTTGCTCCCGCAAAGCATAATCATTTTGCCATGGCTGAGATCCCACACTGTTAAAATAATTCAGAAATCTTTCCCTGACAGTCTGGGCATGAGATGAGACGCTGGTCGAGAACGAATTTGCTCCGTCTCTCTAATTAAGTAACTTGAGTCAGGTCCTTCATGTTCCAGAACAAAATTATGAAGAATACATATAGCTTTCACAATTGAAATTGCATTATGTCTCAATACATTTAAGCAAAATTCGACATTTAGTACATATTATTCCAAAAGCACATTCTACACTTCTTCGAGCCCTAGACAGCCGGTAATTAAAGACACGTTTTTTGTCGTTCAGGTTTCTTGCTGAGTATGGTCTCATTAAAAGCAACAGGTGTGTGTGTGTATTTGACCGCAGAATCTTGAATGTGTACTTAATTGTAAGTGATTGAAGTGATAACTCCTCTTTAACTAAGTATTTTACTGCATTGATCAAAGTTTGTTTTGAGAAGCTATTTTGTTCGGTTCGTCAAGACAAATAAACCGAATATGGAGAAAGAATCTGTCCCAATGCCAATTGTCCACCACAAATCCCACACGGACTGACCATAACAGATACGACTTGCTACAAACACCGTAATAGCACAGCCCAAAGTTTCAACATCGCTGAAACCTGCGTCCTCCACTGAATAGGATAGGATCTTGAAGCTGGAATATTATCTGTCTTTCTTAATGGAAAACCCGATCTACGGTCTTCAAAGTGCACTATTTCAAAGATATTTCCCCACCAAAATTCTGCATTTATTTTTCCACCAGACCATACTAAGACCCTTGTAGTTTTCATTAGATTTCGTTAGGTGATCTGTATGTCAAAAGTTTGTGTTTACGTAAATAATATCCTAAATTACTTCATCGTTTTGAAGGTGAAGTATTTCCCAGAACACTTCGGTTCAGATACTTATAATCTTAGTTCTTACCACAAACTACGAGGCCACAGGACTCGCATTTAGTTAAATACACACGAAGCACAGACCTTGTTAAACAAGATATATAGGCCAATTTCTTGCTATATATGACGATTAACCTTGGAGAAGCCTACAGTGCAATTTAACTTGAACGTCAGAGAAAGCTGTAAGGTTCCAACTATTTTATTTTTATTTTCTGATATTATTTAGGATACTTTATTTCTAAACGCGTCACGAAAACATCTTACAAGGAAGTTGCAAATATTTCGAATATAAATAATTTTGTATTGCTATAAATTAACAGCGTTTTATATCGGTTTATTGGTTGTGTGGTAGAGCATTTAAACATTTAAAATTAATAATAGTCTGCAATATATTTCCTGGACAATTAATTAAGGAAATTAGATAAGAATACATATATGTTTGTGCGTATTTCTATGTTTGAGGAAGATTACTAAACGTTGATTTGAATATTCCATGTGGAATTCGTAATAATTCAGCGAGATTTATGTGAGGTAACAGAATTTTTGCGAGTTCGTTACCAATATGAACCTGTTAGACTGTAACTACTTCAATTATATTTCTATTAAATATCATGTATGTACAAATCGTATGTAAGATGACGCTCAGTATGGGAAAGGGCGTATATTTAATACCCCCAAAATTATTTATGTTTTATGCCCAGTTTTCCGTAAAAACACAAAACAATAAAATTAGCATCATTGGAATATGTAACACATTTTTTATGATTACCGTATAAAAATATTTATTTATCTAGGTATTAAACATTCAGTGTTTGTTAACGCGTTTTGATTTAGAAGCAAGTATTTTCATTTGCCACTATGTAGAATGAACTTTAAACAATTTTTAATTAAAAATATAATGAAACTCGAATTTCTATTACATTTTAATAGATATAACATTACGAGACTATTTGTACGTGAGTGTGTTGACTCCCATTGCATTGTGTATTCGGAATATGGAAGACGTAATTTACCCTTTGTTGTCGTTAGATACATTTTTTAAATATACACAAAATTATATCACAGGTATTCTGTTGCGATGTTTATGTCTCGATTAGGCATTTGGTACATGCAAGAATTTAAATATATTTATATTTTTTTTATATTTAAATACGAAAACCAAAAGTAACTTTTCCTCAGTCACTACAACGTAGCCTACATTTCTAAAAATATTTTGTATATTTCTGTTCGCTTATTGTTTATATTTCTTCATCATCCTTTTAAGTGATGTCTCTCAAATAAGTATTTCATTATTAAAATTTTGTACGCATTTCTGTATTTGTTATTTAAGTTACGGAGTTTGTTTTATGCCTTGTAAAAGAGTTTCACTTTATTGTATGAAAATTTTACAGGCAAAATTACTGGTTAACGTAATTATACCAACATTTACAGCGTTTGTCGTGTTGTTCCAATTTTATTAAAAGTTAATCGAATAAAATTTCAAAATTATTAAATACCCTTCCTGCTTGCACGCACTGCACCTAGCACGCTACCCACGAGGTGAAGTGCGGACAGCCACCTGCTATGCATTCCTCTACCCACGAACCTCCAAGCAAAACGCGTGCAGTGCCTTACCCTATTATTATTATTACGTGTTCTGTCTGACGACAGGTCCATATGAACATGATCCTTCCATCCTTTTCTCGGACTGGGACCTGTTCATATACGTTCTTGGCAGATGATCCAGAAGTGGTTTGCCATTGCCTTCTTCTGTGTGTGAATGGAGTAATTGTTGGGATGCCACGGAGAAACCGGGGAAGCCTCCGGAGGAAAACTCCGTGTTGCCTAGACCACGGCCTTGCCCAACACAAGTTATAAATTCGGGCACCGCCGGGAATCGAACCCGAGACCCCAGGATTACAAGGCCAGCGTTCTAACCGCTAGACCACCGTGGCGTTGCCTTACCCTATGAGACCATAATGGCTACCAAGTACTTACTGCAATGGGTTTCGTCTGAGAAGTCTCCACAGTCGTCCTCGCCGTCGCATAGCCAATCATCACGGATACACTTGCCGTTTCGTGGACAGCGCACGTTTCCATCATTCACGTTACATTCCCCGTCAGGCTGTCCCTCCAAATCCTCCCCACATTCTGCCTCATCTTCCCCCGCGACACAGTCTGCGTCTCCATCGCACCTCCAGGATGCAAGAATACACGTGCACGATCCCAGACACGAAAATTCCCCAACTTTACACACAAACTTGCCACCGCAGTGGTCATCATCGCCATCAGCTTCGGACATCGAATCTGGTACCCCAGAATGCACAGGCGGGGGTACACCCTCGCCGATATCGTCATCAAGTACGCTTTTACTGCCGTATGCATCAGACGCTCCTCCCACACGTCTTAATTGGCCATTATTATACATATTTCCACCAGAAAGTATTGTTGCCCCATTTCTGTAACTTGGTGCAGGCCAGTCGCTTTCATATACTCTTGGTGGGCCTCGGCGATTTCCGTACATTGTCGGTACACTTCGGTCGTGTCCGTATGTTGGCGTTATAACTCGTCCATTTCCATATAAAATTGGAATATTAGCAGCTCCATAAGGATTTCCCGGAGGGTACATGATGCGTGGTATATACCCGTACATCGTTGAGGGTACAGGAGCATTGCCGTACATTGGCACCCCGCCGTACATTTTTGGAACTGCACCGTGGTAACGATTTATTGATGCGATGGCACCACTGCCGTACATGGCCGAAGCTCCGTTTGGATACATGGGGGATCCCCCGTACATGGGGACTCCGCCCATTGATGGATTCGTGTTGCCAGGATTCCGATGAACCGACGTGCCATGAAGATTTGGGGGATCCTCCGTAGGCATCAGCT